ACCATGCTTGTTAAAGTAGAAGGGCAACAAAAAAGAGGAAGACCCTTGACAAGATACATTGGCACAGTGGTGGCAGCAGTGGGCTCAGGCATAGGGACAGTTGTGAGGCTGGCGCAGGCCTGGGCGGGGTTTCATTCTTGTGTACACAGGCTGGTGTGAGTCAGAACCGATGGACTCTGCAGTACCTTTGAAGAACAGCAGCAGCAACAATATACAATCAAAGAAGAGCCCAGTGGTCATATATTAGTTCTATGTTTTCTCTTTTGAGGAACCACCAGACTTGGCTGTTAACAGAAAGGCTGATAGTTCGAACTAATGAAAAGCTTGACCATTTGAACCCACCAGCAGCTCCCAGGAGTGATCTCATCTTGCGGAAATGTAGACTAGTCTGGAAAGCCCTGTGGAGCAGTTCTGTTTTGTCTCATGGGGTCACTATGAGTTGGAATTGATTTGATGGCACCTAACAAAAACAACAGTACGCAGTTTGTTACAATTTTTCCCAGTTGCCTTCAAGTACTCTTTACATTATATGCTTGTTTTTCATCGAGGAGCGATTCAAGGCTCATGTCCTACCTTCAGTGGAGCACTTCTTCATGCAGCTTACTTGTCCCTTCAGGTTTTGCTTTGGCCCGATCTCATGTATACCACTTCCATTTAACAATGGAGTGTTGCTGCGCATGTCCAACTTTATGATTCTGTGGGTCAGACAATACCCACTTCATGATAGGTAGTTCAGGCCTCATGGTGACTTGGTGACCCATGGTGAGGCGTTCAGTCTCCACCAAGGCCCAATAACAGGCCAACAGCTATTTTTCAAAGGGGGAGTAGTTGTCTGCAGGGGATGGTAAGACTTTAATCCAAAATCCCAATGGTCTACGTTGTGATTCACCAATAGGGGTCTGCCAAAGGCTCCACACTGCATCTTTATCTACAACTGACACTTCTAGCATCATCGGGTCAGCTGGATCATATGGTCCCAGTGGCAAAGCAGCTTGCACGGCAGCCTGAACCTGTTGCAGAGCCTTTTCTTGTTCTGGGCCCCACTCAAAATTGGAGGCTTCTCATGTCACTTGATAAATAGGTCAAAATAGAACACCCAAGTGTGATATGTTGAGGCCACTAGGCGTTGAGCCTCTTTTTTAGTCGTTGGAGGCACCTAATGCAATAGCTTATCCTTCACTTTAGAAGGAATATCTCGACATGCCTCATACCACTGGACCCCTAGAAATTTTACTGAGGTGGAGGGTGCCTGAATCTTCGTTGGGTTAATTTCCCAACCTCTTGTATGCAGATATTGTACCAATGAATCTAGAGTCTTTGACACATCCTCCTTCGTGGGTCCAATCAGCATGATGTCATCAATACAATGGACCAGTGTGACATTTTGTGCAATAGACAGGTGATCAGGGTCCCTTTGGACTAAATTATGGCACAGGGCAGAAGAGTTGATATACCCCTGGGGGAGAGTTGTAAAAGTATATTGTTGCCCCTGCCAGCGGAAGGCAAACTGCTTCTGGTGGTCCTTCGAGACTGGTATTGAGAAGAAGGCATTAGCCAGATCAATAGCTGCATACCAAGTACCAGAAGAAGTATTAATTTGCTCAAGCAATGAAATCACAGGGGCCACCCAATACATAACAGTAGCAAAATTGCAGTTATGAAGTAGCAATGCAAACAATTTTATGGTTGGGGGGGCGGTCATCACAACATGAGGAACTGTATTAAATAGTCATGGCATTAGGAAGGTTTGAGACCCACTATTCTAATGCGATCCTTCTCAAATTAACGGTAGCCAGGCACTATCTAATTCTTCTGGTCTCAAGGTTGTGGAAACTAGTATTTGCACGTGCCGTCAGCCCACTAGACTATTTCCACGTGTCTTTCCATTTTAATCACTTTTCTTTCTTCCAGATGGGAAGAGACCAATATTTGCATCTTAGATGGCTGCTCATGAGCTTTTAAGATCCTAGTTATTACCAGAGTAGGATATAGAACATTGTCTTTGTGAACTATGTTATATCAGCTGACCTCCGTACCACCTGAGAGAGACTATGCTCCTGATCCATCCCCAGTGACTCATTTTTCCAAGGTGTTTAGTTATGGCTAAGAAGTTTTCATAACCTTGCCTCTCTGTACCACCACATTCCTGGATGTATTTGTAGCAAAGGTAAATAAGTACACATACATAACTGTCTTCTCTCAAACCTGTATAAATGATAAGAACTCCTAGACTTTTAGCTACAATACCACTAATGCCTCTAAAAATTAATAATTCTTTAATATGCTCAACTAGTGTACACATTTCCTGAATTAACTTTTATAAGCAATTATTTATTCTGCATTTAATTTTGTTGAAACGGTATCTGATGAAATTCATTCATTATAATTCAGTCCATAGGTTTCCCTAGCTCTTCTCCGCCCTCCATCCACCCGCCTTGCCCCCCCCCACCTATATAAGCATTTTGTGTGGATGTGAAGAAATCTAATTATATGTTCTGTGCCTTTCCTATACTTTGGGTTTCTCTCATTGTATACCAGTTGCATACATGTTTCTATGTTTGCTTTATTTCTTGTTAGTAGTTGGGGCTAAATGCTTTATTACATTTTTTTTTCTTTTATTAAATTTTGGCATGACTACTTCAAAAGTGGTATTATACCTACCTGCTGTTTTAAAGGGTCTTTGATTTTATGATCTTTACCTTGAAGGAACTTGAAACAAGTAGGAAAGCAAAAGCTATAATCACTTTTGTCAGAACTCTACCATCCTACACCTGATTGTTGGTATATTAAGTTGAAATCATCAAACTACCAGAATCTGTACCAACAAAACGGTGGAAATTCAAATCCCCAAAAGACAACTCTTTGTAATATAGCTATTTTTTCATAGAAAGTGGGTTTAAAGGCTTAACAATTTTCCCCCCAGCTGCTAACAAAATGTTTCAGTCAATTAGTTACATTGATTGAACACTTAGAGTCACACTAAATAAAAATCATTCAATTAATTTTACTCATCTAGCTAGAAGGTGCCTTAAATGATCTGCCCTGGTTCTGTTGGTTTACAGGTGACAAACAGCTAAAGAACAGTTTTACGGACATTGCTCCTCCAAAGAGTTGTATCAGTAAAAGCACCAACGGGGGGTATAAAGTATATTGGGAGTCCATTCCTTGTTCTGCTAGGTGATATGATCATCAGTAATCCGTGGTCTCTGTCACTTCAGGAAATTTGTCTGTCTGAATGACAACATAGACCACAGTCACAAAGATGCCCAGACAGTGAAGGCTGTTCTCAAGGACTTCTATGAATCCATGTTCCCCATTCCTTCCCAGTTTGAGTTGCCCAGGGATTACCGTAACCGCTTCCTTCATATTCATGAGCTGCAAGAATGGTAAGTGGTCATATTTCATATAATTACACATATATTTCTATTTTAAAGTGGTGAAATACCTTTAGTGTGTTATGATTTGGGCATGAACTTCTTTGCAAATATATTTTTAGCATATTTTTTATTTCAATTAATATGAAAGGTGCTCATTAGCATTTTAAGGGGTTGAAGAAACCACTTAACAGGAAATCTTGTCACTTGCTCCATTGCCATCAAGTCAATTCTGACTCAATAGCAGGCCACAGGACAGCGTAGTGCTGCCCCAGGCAGTGTCCACAGAAACCAGCTGCCACATCTTTCCCCTGAGAGGGGCTGGCTGATTGGTTTGAACTTCAGACCTTTCAGGTAGTAGCAGAGCACTTAACCAATGAGCTGCTAGAGCTCCTTCAAGGGTAGACCTGCCATAGGGTTTCTAAGGCTGTAATTTTTTTTTAGTTAAAAAAACAAAGTAAAATAGATAAAAACCTCAGTATAAAATAAAGCATAAAATATTTTAAAACTATGAGCAAATTTAAAATAGATTATAAGGGAGATCAAATGATGTGGTGCTGATTTTAACCTAACTGCACCTGCAAGAATCCACTTTCCACTACACTCTTCCTGATAGCAAGGCCATCCTCCACCCTGGTCTAGGGGGAGAGGGAATTCACTAGAGGCTACCCATATATATTTCCCCTTCTTTTTTTTTAACTGAAACCCTTTTAAATGGCCCAAAGGGGAGCTCAAATGATAAGATCACATTCTAACCTAACTACATCTGTCAAGATTGACTTTACCATGAATACGCTTTGTCAGATAACAAGGCTATTCGCCTCCCTCAACTATGATCAGAAGGGTCACCAGAGGTTTAACCACATGTGGACACTGCACATACATTTGGCCTTCCACTGTCACCAATAGTAAGGCTGTAATCTTGATAGGTGCAGATCACCAGCTCTTATCTCCCTGGAGGCTGGGCAGCGGGGACGACAGATGAGTTTCAATGAACTTATCTGCCAAAATCTTTATTATTAAATACTTTATTGGGGGGCTCTTACATTCTCTTATCACAGTCCATTCAACCAGTGTGTCCAGTGTAGTGGGCTACCAGACACACCTCAGGAGAAAAATGAGGCTGTCTACTCCCAAAAAGATTGACGCCCCCGAGACCCAAAGGGGCAGTTCTGCCTTGCCGTACAGGTCACTCGGAGTCAGTGCTCACTCCATGGCAGTGAGTCCTTTTCTTTGAGTGCATGAATGGCTCACTAATGACAGTGAAACCACACAGAGGTACGTTCTTGTTTTCTTCTCTCCGAACAGGAGGGCGTATCGGGATAAATTGAAGTTCTGGACTCATTGTTTACTGGCAACTGTGATTATATTTACAGTCTTCTCTTTTTTTGCCGAACAGGTGAGTTTTCCATATTATATGTGGGCATTAAACAGCATTTCCCTTGATACGCTGGCATCTGACTATTTTTTAAACTGCTATGAATTCACAACCAGAAATTCTTCATTTTCCCCATTGGCTTATACCTTATATTTCAATATTGTGTCATAATATTCAGGTAGAAGTCACAACAGCCTTTATTCACCTCATTTGTCTTCAAAATCTAATAGTAGTATGCATTTAATCTAGACCTCAGGAGATAAAAACCCAAAGGCCTCAGGTAAAGCTAGAGTGCTCTAAGGATTGTTCACCAAGAACCTGCTTAGATCCCTCATCTGATTCCAGAATTTTTTATGGGTCTTCCATTTTCCTTCCCAAAGTGACCACCCTGTGCTCTCTGCAGACCTCACACTATTCTTTGGACATTGGGTAGCTTCCCACGGACCTTCCAAAGACTTGCTGGCCAGGCTCCTCCTCTTGATTCCCTCCCTCCTTCCTCGCCTCTCCTCTGGGGAAAACTCAACTCTGGTGCACCCTTCTGGAGCTCTGGAGCCAGAAGCAGGGTGGGGGCGTGACTTGGTAGGAGGAAGATTTGTGAAGTAAACAGACAGAGCTAAGAGAACTTTCAGTGACTGCAGGTATGAAACGCTCTGAAGAAAAATGGATTGAAGGACAGGAACAAGAGTCTGGGCTGACTTCACTTATTCAGGAAAAGCGAGCCTATTCTGGGCCTCTGTTCAAGAAAGCAGTTGAGCAGGGCTTTCCTAGCTGTGACTCAGGGATCATGCAACTTAAACCAAGGAGGAGGCGCTGTGAGCTGTCGAAGAAACAGAAGTTGAACTTTCTGCTGCACGCGGGAAGAAAGTCCAGAAGTAGATTGGGCAGGCAAGCAGGACTGCCACTTAGCCTTCATCTACTTCCCAGGAAATACAGATTGCTTTTGTCATCAGTTTTGCCCTTGCTACTTGCAGGTAAAACTCTTAGGGGTGGGGGAAATCTCTGTTCCATCTTTTAGACTAGGGGTCCGTGAGGAACCTGCCTGCGTGGGCAAGGAAAGGGGTCCTGGCTAGTGGTGACAGTGGGGGCAGGGCCAATCTTTGATCCCTTTCAGCACAGAACAGGGAACCAGGAGCCAGTAAGAGGAGAAAAGAAAGGAAGATTCTATTTCTTCTCCTCGCCAGCACCATGTTCTTGACCTACTCAAATGCAATGCCTTACTCTTCCCACACCCATCACCCTTAGCCATCACTCTGGTCCAGCCAACTTCGCCTGGTTCTCCGCCCAGAGTCCCAGCTCACCCTCCAAACCATTTTAACGTATATAAGATGTTACCTGTCTTTTCAAATGATTGCTGCTAATGTTTTTGAAAATCCTGTGTTGCATAATTAGTCATTTTCAAGCCCAAAGTTATGTCTTACCAGTAAGTTGTTCCTTAAGAAAGGAAGCTTGGAACAAACTAATTTTGGTTCTTTTGTGTGTGTCTTGCATGTTTTACGCTAAGCCTAATGACCAGACAAACTCAGTGATGGGTTTTGTTTTGGGCGAGGAACAATGAAGTCTTACCTGAATTTTTTTTAAACTCTATAAGCTTGTGGAAATAATTGTCCCCTATGGCCCTCACAGAGAAATTGAATATACTCTATTTTTCAATATGCCTTCTTAATTCATGGAAAATTAAATTTTACTTCCTGTCTCCTTGTTTAGTTAATTGCACTTAAGCGGAAGATATTTCCAAGGAGAATACTCAAGGAAGCTAGTCCGGATCGAATCAGGGTATAGAGCATATTCATCTGAATACCATCTACCTCAGCGTTTTCCGAGCATCTAAAAACACGGAGCCACAAAGATGACTTGGTGGTGGGGTGCTTCCCCAGCGCAGCCTGAAGAAGGACGAATGTCCAGTCCCATCCTTGTGTTGGAGCTAGCCCACCGACCAGGAATTGTTCAGACGGCACCCTGTGTTGAGCAACTCTGATCCGGTTCTACTTTTTAAAAAGCATTTGCTCCTGGACCTGTCGTCCTTTTTGCAAAAAGCAGTTGCTCCATCTCCAAAGCAGCCGCTGGCAGCCAACGTTGATATGAGAAACCCGGTCTGCTTGGGAGCCTTTGCGAAGAGGCCCCAGCGTTGGCACCTCAAAGGCATCTGCTGCGCTTTTGCCGTTATTTTTTCTTCTCCTCCTCCTCCTGCTTCTTATTCCCCATTTGCAAAATAAGTAGTTATGAGGTTAACTAGTTAATCTTGCTTCTGAGAAGATGGAGTGGAATGTCTCAACGTGTTTTTGTAGATGTTATGTAAATAATGCACCACTAGCACCTTTTATAGGCAACATCGAAATTATAGATGATGATAATGATTTTGATTAATGTGTAAGACTGTAAATTGGTTTCCAGGTACTGAAAACGCAATGACTTCACATTAGAAATGCTTCTTGTTTACTGTAGCCCCTGGGAATACTGTGACCATGTGGAGGCCTAAGGACAAAGGGCTAGAGTTCAGTAGCAATGCTACTTTCCAGGTGTAATTATATTCTGTAAATGTATATATTCAAACAGAAGTGCCTCCTTTTAGAAATGAGTCTGGTGATGGTGCAGGTACAAGACGACGGTGGCTTGTTTAGCCCTCATCAGGGCATACCTCCCCGCTCTCTCAGTTGTTATTATAAAGAGCCATTGCCTTCATGAGTGAATGGACTCCCATCTCTTAGGATCCCTGTGGGACAGAGTAGAATTGCCTGGGGAAGGTTTCCAAGGCTGGAATCGTGACGGGAGCAAACTGCCATGTCTTTCTCCACAGAGTGGCTTGTGGGGTCAAACCACCTGCTTCTTGGTTTGCAACCAGGCGCTTAACCACTGCACCGTCAAGGCTCCTGTCACACAAAGCAGGGGTCAGCAGACATGCCCTGTAAGAGGCTAGATAGTGAATATTTAGGCTCTGCAGGCCACGTACATCACTTTTGCATATTATGCTTTTATTTTAAATAACTCCTTTAAAAAAACACACATAAACCATGGCTAGCCCACGGCTATACCTAAACAGGCTAACCAAAGCCCATAGTTTGCTGATGCCAGGAATGGAAAATTAGTATTTATACATATGGGTATGGCATGACCTTCAGCCATATTTTGTTCATGTCATTATACAGTGGATCTATGGAGACCGGATTCCATGAGTTCTTTTTGAGCTTTCTGACAAGTGTTTTAGATCATGATCTCAACAGTATTCTTTCAAGATGGCGTACCTATTTTGTAAAAAAAGAACTTGAAATGTAAATACTGTGTGATGTGAAAGTTGTGTATTTCAAAAACCGAAATCTTCTGAAAAGTTGTGTTCTTGTCTGATGCTTTGATTTTTAACTCCTGGAAGAGTGAGTATGTTTTTATCCAGAGCCGGCAGTCCCTTGTGTGCCTGCCCAGTACGGTTCTGTGCAAGTCCATGTCGGGTTTTATTTGTCTGTACTGAACATTATGGGAACTAGATGGGAAGAAGCATAAGCAGACAACCAGAATAGAATATGCTGAAGAATGTGACTTTACAAGGAGAAAATAAGTTTTAAAGAGAATTATTATGTGTCAAAATGCAGGGGCGATCTGTGTCTCCTTTACAAGTGAGGAACTTATTCTAGAAAGGTTGTAGGGGAGCGAAGATTTGGGTGTGGCTGTTTCTGTGGTTAACTGAACAAACAAAAAACCCTGTTGCTATCACTTGGTCTGACTCATAGCAGCCCTCTAGGACAGACGAGAACTGCCCAATAGGGCTTCCAGGGCTGTAAATCTTTACAGAAGCAGAGCACCACATCTGTCTCCTGTGGAGCAGCTCAGGGGTTTGAACAGCCAACCTTTCCATCTGTAACAGATGAGAACTGCCCAATAGGGCTTCCAGGGCTGTAAATCTTTACAAAATCAGGGCACCACATCTGTCTCCTGTGGAGCAGCTCAGGGGTTTGAACAGCCAACCTTTCCGTCTGTAACTGATCATAGAGCTCCTTTTGATATACCTAATCCACACCCAATCAAGAGCTGAATAGATCATGGGACAGATAACAGAATTATAGATGATCTGAAATCAATGGCCTTCTATATTTTCAGAACCATTGTTGTTAGGTGTCACGGAGTGGGTTCCGAACCATAGTGACCCTGCGTGCAACAGAGTGAAGCACTGCCTGGTCCTGCGCCATCCTCACAGTTGTTCCTGTGCCCAACCACTACGTCAGTCCGTCTCGTTGAGGGCCTTGCTCCTCTTTTGCTGTCTCCAATTTACCAAGCACGATATCCTTCTCCAGGGACTGGTCTCTCCTGACAACATGTCCAGAGTCTGTAAGACACAGTCTCGCCATCCTTGCCTCTAAGGACCACTCTGTCTGGCCTAACTTCTTCCAAGACACATGTTTGTCCTCTTGACTGTCCATGGTACTTTCAATATTCTTCACCAGCACAATTCAAATGCATCGATTCTTCTCTGGTCTTCCTTATTCAATATCCAATTTTCACATGCATGTAAGGCCATGGAAAATACCATGGCTTGAGTCAGGCACACCTTTGTCCTCAAAGTAGCATCAACTGCTAGTTCAGATGAAATCCTACAGAAAGCCTGTGTCTAATATAGAAATAGGAAAGCTGCGTGGCTGAACAGACTCCCAGACATGCCTCTGTTCCCAACCCAGGGCTCACTCGGCCTGACTGAGAAAGAGGCTGAATGAAAGCAAAAGGGAAGAGCTTTATTTTGGTTGATCAAGCAAGGAGCAAGCCAGGCCTAGAGTCGCCAAGACCAAACCCTGTAAAAAAGGGGTTTTCAGGTTTATAAGTGTACACTTGATGACAGTGAGCTTGAGTCCGAGTTCACAGATTCCCAGAGGAGTGGTCATGAATGAGCAGTGACCTTGTTCCCTGATCCATGTCTTTGGTTTCGGCATCAACCAGGTTGCAACTGCCCTTTTTGTTCATGTCTCATGGGCCAGATCTGGTTTTAACTTTGTAACTGATAACCACTTGCTGTGGTGGTATCCTTTCCTGGGAGGAAAGGGCTCAAGATAGTCTATCAGGTAGAAAGGAAAGGTACAGGATGAGCAATATGTAAGATAGATATAGTTCTCAGTATCCTGTGACATCTCTTCTGTCCTCAGGGTAAGTTCCTTGGGCATTTTGTGGACTCTACACCACACAGAACTAAGCAGCTTAGAGAGCGGCCTAACTCCAAACTCCAGGCTCACAGGCTGCATATGAAGGGGACAGTGAAAGCCTTGCATTTTGTCAAGGTTGAAACCAAAGCCAAAAAGACGATGGGATTCACCAAAGACCCCCAAGGAAGTTAAAGGCTGGCATGGACTTGCAGCCCGATTGCCCCTCTTTTTCCACCCCCCACACATGAGGCAGCACTGCCTCCTCTCCCCACCCTGCCACATGCACAAGTGCACATGTGAGTGTAAAGCACACTCACCAATCAGACTGTTGGGCTTCAAGTTCTGCATCCCAGAAATGACCTGTTTAGCTTTTTCTTCAGAAACGTAGGAAGTCATACTGGTGTCTTCCTGCCCGGCTTACTGTGATGAGTGAAGGAAGGGTCGCAGGTAAAAAGTAGTGTGTGGCAAATAGTCTTGGCTGGTATATGTCGGTGGTGGTGGTAATGATAGAAGTTTGTTAAAAGGGTCGTTTCTAGCCTAATAATTTGGGTCACACAAACACCTAAGAAAATGAGACATTTTGTATTACCAAAAAAAATGTTTTTCTTGGCCTAGTTTTTTAGGAGCCCTGGTGGCACAGTGGGTTATATGCTGGGGCCGCTGACCACACTATGGAACAAAGATGAGGCTTTCTACTCCCATGAAGTGTTGGTAACAGCTTCAGAAACCCACAGGGGCCAGTTCTACAGGGACCCTGCCCTACAGGGTCACTGTGTGTCAGAATTGACTGTTTGGTTTCTTACTTATTTAAAATGTAGATTTTAAGGAATGCATGCAATGTCTTTATTTGGGTATCCACTTTTACTCTGTATTGTGCATATCAAGTCATCTCACAAGCCACTAATGTAGGCCGGTAACAGCATTGCTATGTATACAGTAAACCTAGGAAAGGTGGAACCTGTGTAAAGCAGAAACCTGTCAGAAGAGGAACGTGCAAATATTTCCCTCTAAAACGAGCTACAGGAAAGCCGGAAGACTGTACCCTGCCAGTGGCAGGAACCTCCCCAGCCCTAGAAAAACAAGCACGTCTCTTCCAGTTTGAGCTCTCACTGGTTTCGCTGTTGTAGCGTATTATCTTTCTGGGATGGTGATAGGCATGCCGCTTCACAAGTTAAAGGGAAACCAGAAAAGCTCAGCCTTCATGTCTGTGTTAACAGGGGCTAAAGACTCCTCAGCCTAGTTGCTTCTCCTTCTCAACTCTAATAACAGCTCAGTCTTAGTCTTGTTGGCATTCTGTGTGCTAAAAGCTTTGTGTTTCTAATTTCATCGCATCCTCACCACAACCTCATTTATACCCAGGAAGGAGGGAACTAGAGCCTGGCTAGGTCAAGAATCTCGGCTCCCCACCGGGTATCAAAATAGCCAGTAGCAGAACCAGCTTTTTGATTCAAGTCTCTCCAGAATTCATTCTTAGCCACTAAGATGTACTTGGATGTGAAGGACAAATCTTAACCTATCTAAGGAAGAGAGGGGGTGGGGGAAGCTGCAGGAGGCAGGTGCCCTGGAAGGCTTGTTCAAAGCCTTCCACCTGCTTCTCTGAAGGTCAGCTTTTCTTTCACCACTTGATGGGGTGGTGGCAACTTCTGGCTGGAATCC